AATTAATTATTTAAATAACTAATCAAGTTATACAAAAAAATAATATAAAAAAATTATCACAAAATAATTTTCTTAAAATTATACAATTGATAAATATCTTATTTTTTTGAAAATCAAAAGATGTAATTTTCAAATTTGATTTTTAGTTTTTATTCAAGTTTTAAAATAGGCGATTCTTTTAACCGTGTAATTTCTTTTCAGAATCATTTTTCCTTCCAGAGTTGACCACATTGAAAACAGGCCTCAAGTTGACCTATTTGGTTTTGGCAAAAACCTACTTTTGATCCTTTATCTTATTAGATTTATAGGTTTTAACCCCTTAACTTATATTATGACACTTTTAGTCCCTCACATATTATAATTAAAGAAAATAGTCCTCATTTTATAATATTTCATTAGTTTTGTTAATTGATTGTTAACTTTATTGGCTGACTGTTAATTCTATTAGTTGAAAATAAGTTTTGCCAACTAACAATCAATTAACAGTCAACTAACAGACTTAACAGTCAACTAACAGACTTAACAGTCAGTTAACAGAATATTTATGTTAATTGACTGTCAACTTTATTAACTAAAAATAGGTTTTTATCAACTAACTATCAGTTAATAGAGTTAACAATCGACTAATTAAACTAACAAAACATTATAAGTGAGGGCTATTTTCTTTAATTCTAATAGGTAAGGGGTTAAAAGTGTTATAGTATAAGATAATGGGTTAAAATTTATAAATCACTAAAAATAGGCTTTTGCCCTTCGCTTCCTCTATAAGTTTCCTCGCCACCAGAGTTTTTCCAAGCTCAAAGCTCACTGCTCAGTGCTCAGTGCTCAGTGTGGCAGCAACTTCAACAACAAAATTCCAATCCCCAAATTCTTCTTAGTCAACACAGGTAAGAATTTCCATGCAATACATTTGTAACATATTCTGGGTTGAGGGAAATGAAGCAAATCCAATTCGTTCACTTAATTGAACGAAAATTTAATCCTTTCTTTTACTCTGTTTCTTTTGATCCAAACATACGGAAATTTAAGAAAAGTTTTTTCTTTCTCTCTTTCAATTATTAACAATTTTGTTGTTTTCTCTTATAGGTTTTTCAAGATGGGGATTTCCATGTTAGTTTCCCAGCAACCACAGCTTCTCCCTGCAACCATGAACATTCCTCCAGGCAGGCTCAACCTGGATAACTTCATTCCCTGGCGGCCCAAGAAGAAGGTGGTGGTTGTAATGGGGGCGACCGGAACCGGCAAGTCACGGCTCTCCATCGACCTCGCCAGCCTGTTTCCGGCGGAGATCATAAACTCAGACAAAATGCAAGTGCATGAAGGACTAGATATTGTCACCAACAAAATAACAGAGGAAGAACGAAAAAGAGTTCCCCACCATTTGTTAGGAATAGTAGGCCCCAATGCCGATTTTACGGCGTCGGATTTCTGCGACCGGGCATCGATTGCCATGGAGAAAATTCTGTCCCGAGGCCGGCTTCCAGTCATTGCCGGCGGCTCCAATTCTTACATCGAGGCTTTAATCGACGACGTAGACTACCAGTTCCGATCAAAATACGACCCCTGTTTCCTCTGCGTTGACGTTAGAACACCGGTGCTCCATCAATACGTCTCGGAGCGGGTCGACCGGATGGTTAAGAAAGGAATGATCGACGAGGCGAGGAAGTTTTTCTCCGTCAACGGGGACTACAAACAGGGGATCAGGAAGGCAATCGGAGTTCCAGAGTACGATATGTACTTCCGACTGGAACCGTTTCTGGACGAAGAAAGCAGAGCCATGCTGCTGAAGAAAGCCATCCAAGAAATCAAGAACAATAACTGCAAATTGGTCCACCGGCAACTGGAGAAAATTCATCGGCTGAGGAACGTGAAGAAATGGAACATACACAGGCTCGATGCCACAGAAGTTTTTAACCGGAAAGGGAATGAAGCCGACGAGGCATGGGAAGAGCTGGTGGCCGGTCCCAGCATGGAGATAGTGGCGCAATTTTTAGATCGTGACGCCACTATAAAGCGGAACTGGCGGCACGGTCGCTTCTTCGGCCGTCAAAAGATTATGTTGCACAATGCCTTGTAGCGTAAAGATGACATCAAGTCTTGACTAAACAATAAGCACCACACCCATGATTTCCAGCTTCAAAATAATTGAGAGATTGAAATTTTGATGAATTCGATTGCAAAATTGAAATTCAAAGCCCCGATACTCATTGAAGGTGAAATTCTATTCGATATTTGTAAATAAGTAATTTATAATTAGTGCATCTCACTCTCAAGGTTCAATAATTATAAAGCGGTTCATAAAATGTATTTCTCAACTCATGAGTCTAAGTTTGAATCCTTCAGTGTAAATTTGTAATCTTGTTAAAAAAAAAAAAGAAGTAATTACAAATAAGTACTTTTAAGATTAGTCAATGCCAAAAGACTTGATACTTATGTTAATTAATCTCGAACATTTGTTAATAAGAATGATAATAGACTTTCTTGTTAGACCAGTCCTTTATTTTTTCTGGTCACTTTCATTTTCATACTAGAGTTTGATTCCAACAAAATACTATGATATCCCATTCGCATAAAGGATGCCCCCGGGATGAAATGCTCTTGGGCACCCAAAAAGGACGAAGAACAAACAAAAAGAAATGAGCGGCCTCCTTTTAGTTTTGAAGGTATTAAATAATTGTGTAAGACAAAATCACTTTCACAGGGGTATAGAGTTATCTCCTACTTTTCTAATCTTCAACTCTAGGTTTGGAAATCCGTTTTATGTCCTCCTCGTCGGCATCTAACAAATATATATATATATGTATGGTGATTAGTGTTTATTTGTTTTATTTTTAAAAAATTAAAAAAATATATTTTAAAATTATATCCTTTTTATAATATTAATATTATAAGAAATAACTAAAAATGCTTTAATTTATACTTTAAAAATAAAATATTTTAATTTTTTTAACTAAAAATAAGACAAATAAATATTATTCTCATATATATATATATGTATGATGTCTGGAGCTTTGTTAAGATAATATTCAACAACTAGAATTAAAAATTCATATATTTATATTATCAAATAGTTAACGTCTTGTAGAAAAATAGTAGAGGAAAGCACTGAATTCAGAAACAACTTGAGTAATTTGATGTGGTATACAGGTAATATGCAAGTAAACATGACAGCTACAGGGCAATACATATGGTTGACAGAAAATAATGTCAACAACGGCCCTCCTGCATGCTAAGTGGTTGGGTGGTTCATTTTTTTTGCTTGGTTATATTGTCATTTTGAACTAGACAAAAGCTTGAGGCTTGAGGTACATGGAATGAATATGGAGAAACATGAAACCGACTTGGTACAGCCAAATTGCATATCACATTCATCTTTTTCGAACCAAATGTACAATTCGAATAAACTTTGATAAACAAATTCCGTGTCCATCCCATTTGATGATTTCATTGAAAACAAAATGTCGGGTTCACATGTGAGTGTGATTGTCTTACCTATCACATAACAAACAAACCATTCGAATTGAGTTCCATTCAAGCTCTTCCCCAACTTGCTCCCCCCACATAAAATTCTTCCATTGATTGCTTTTAGTTGTATTTATTGTATGGACTGTAATATGATCTAAAACCATTTTAACAGAATTAAAGATATAAGCTGAAATTCAGTAAGTTCCATTTATTCGTATAATAACTACGGAATTATTACTAATTCAATATTCAAACATATAGAGAAACATAATTTTAGAAAATATGAGGTTTCAAGGTTTTAATCCGCCAGCACATAGGAAACTAATATCACAGGAGTCATCAACATGGACGGTGTAATTATGGATTGGTCTTGAGAGGAAAGGAGGCAAGTGAGCCAGAACGGCGCAGACACATTCATTATCCATTGTCTTCAACCATTTGCAGCAATTATCTTCTTCACTTGTTTCCTCGTACCTGTATACGTGTCCATGCCTGTGTCCGTGTCTACGCCTGGGATGATGCTCGTGAATATGATGTCCTCCATCATCAGGAGGGGGTCCGTGTCTATGGCCATGATTATGCCCTCCATGAGGGGAAGGAGGGAGTGGAGATGGAGAGGATGGAGAACGAAGATGAGCAGCAGTAGGCAGAGGGACCAGCGGCAGAAATGCACACGCATGATTTGCCACTGCAAATTGGGAGGTGCAGAGCAGATCATGTGGTGGTAATGGAAATTTTAGTTCGGACTTTACCTCCGGCAGTACAAAGAGCACTGCCAAGATGATCAGCAGAGGAAACTTGACATTTTCCATCCCTGTTCCGGGTTTTTCTCCGTTTTTGGTACATCAAGATTGCCATTGCTTGAATTTATATGCGTTCATTCACAAGGTCCTTGCTCCCCTCACTTGGTATTTCTTAAACCGTCATTGAATATAAACAAATAGCGATGGCAAAGAAAGAGTGAGGCTGTTTCTTTACAGAAGAATTCAGAGTTAATGCCATTCATTTAGTGTGATCACTTGTTAGGTGAGAAACCAGCTCATGCTAATGGTATTCAAGTATCAATAATCTTACCAGAAAAATTAGAGAGCAGAAAAGGTATGTTTATTCCAGAAGTTATTTTGGTAGCCATGATGAAGTTGGGGTACCAGAACTATGAAGCGAAAGGGAAAGCCAAATACCTGAAATTGTCAGCACATTTTTTGGCAACTTGATCAGGTAACGAACTGCATTACTTAATTTGAGTCATCAATGATTTACCTGCACAGCTGATTATGGGAAGGAAGTGATGTTAAATTGGACAGTTGCCACTTCATGCGAAAACCAGGCTGCCACCAAGCAAGAATACCCTTTCCTGGTCAGGGGAGTCTGATTCGCTTCACAATAAAACCTTCAACAGAAAACATAGGGCATTGGCAAATAGCATTAGACCAACATTTATTTACTTAGCCATAACTAAGGTAAGACTACACAGCAACAACTCGTGAATCAAAGTGAAAAACTATATCACCTGCTAGCTCTTAAACTGGTTTCAATGCTGAAATACATGATATGAAAGGGAAAAGATTTGTTGATCATTCTACAACAGAGCCTATTTGTCATGTATAGCTAGCAAGCTGAGAAAGGGAACGCAAAGTAAAAGGGCATTATTTCATCATTTATGTTAAACATTTTCTCACATTTCAATTAGGGAAGATATCAGAGAGTTTGCAAGCGTAATGGATACCATTAGGTTCAAAAAATCATTTCAGCAAACAACAGTCACTTTGACAGCAAAATACTTTCTAAGATAACCAACGAACAACAAAATTTCAGATCACTAATTACTGAAAGGTCCTCCAAGAAATCCAAAGCATCTTTAACAAGAAATGTTAAAAAAGGGTCGAATTGGGATAAGCAAGCCTCTCAAAATTCAGTGACACAACATCTCTAGGACAAAAATCTCATGCTGCTCAACAGTTGATTCAATAGAGAAACATGTCGAACACAACCTCCCAAGAAAGAGAAACATCTCAAATACAACCTCCCAAGAATAGACTACTCCTTTACAGAAAATATACAGCTTGACATTGCCAACTACTTAAACTCTTGATCAGATATTGTATACCTGTTAGGAGGAATTTATTTGGCATGCCAACAATAGTTCCTTCCAGTTCATCACTGCTCAGCTCATCCCTGCTCATCCAGACACTGGTTTCTCATTGCCGTCATCTCCATGTCTTTCTTAGCCTCCTTTCTTTGCAACTTCAACTGCTCTTCTCTCTCCCACCACCCCTCCTCCAACAACTCCACAAACTTATCCTTTATCACCAGCAATGGATCACGATCAATCAACTGACCATCCTTATATGCCTCCCTTAGCATTGCGGTCTCTATCCCACCTTTCAAGGACATGTAAAATATGCCAGAATGCCTTGTGAAAACACTTGAAAAGGCATTAGAAAACCTATAGTCCTCAGTAAACTTCCCCAATATTGGCACCGGAACCCTCTTAAGTAGTGAAATAGAAAGCAACTCATGGAAAACCCCTACTGTCCTCTTCTCCATTTCACGCGAAGCTTGGTGTAAATGTGACACATCTTCATAAGGAGAAATATAATCCATCTCTAACCAATCCCTAACCCACTCCCTCATTTCCTTCCTAAGTAAAAACCCGCGTGGTAGATTATAGTGAAAATTAGGCCTAACCCGAATCCCAGTTAACCTATATTCCTCTTCAGCTGTCCATTCAATTACTGATTTGGCAAACTCTGGATTCCACTCAACCAACTCCAGAAATGATTTCCCCTCTCGGGGAAACCCAGTTAACCTAAAGTAATTTGAGTGCTTAGGCACCAAATTGACCAAAAAATCATTCGGAAACCCGAATTCTCTCTTCACATGAACCAATTTATCAACACTGAGAACCTTATTTTTCGACATCATCAACAATTTGCAAAGTTTTGAAACGATTAAGGGTTCATTTTCTGCATAAATCCTTTGCTCTTCTTCAAGAAAATTTCGAAGCCTAATGCTGGGTCGCAAGAACGGCACAAGATCGGATTTGGGTCGGATACGATCATAGTAAGTATCAAAAAGACCAGGGTTTTTGTCAATAAAGGTCTTGACTTTCACATTGAGGCGCAATCTCTCCCGCCTTTTCTCGAGGTATCGAAGTGGGATTACATGACCCGGTTCATTAAGAACCTCCTTCACAACCCGGGCGCAGAGCTTGTATTTCTTATCATTCTGAATGGCTTCGTCTAGCTTCAGATCCTTTCGCCAAACTACTTTGAGGCTCGAAATGGGTCTGATCTGGAGGCTAAGATAAGGGTTTGTGCGAGGGCAAACGGTGGATTTCAGGTATTGAATGTAAAAGGAGATGATTTGAGTTTTGGAGAGCATACCTGAACCGAGCACCGGAGCCGGCGACGGGGAGTTCTGGAGAAGACAGAGAGAGAGAGAGATAGAGCCAAAATTTCACGCCGTTTAGTCCGCTGATTCGGCGACGTTTAACAACAGCGGCGGATTATTATGGGTCTTAAAAGTCCGTGACCCGAATTGCAATGGACCCACAGCATCGTTCCATGATCTAGCTATGCCTATGAGCGTGGGCCCAAGGGTCTGATCATAGTCAAAATCAAATTTAGGCCCAATGGCCCGTATAGGACTTATAAAATGTTGAAATTTTTATGGTTTTTACTTTGAACCACATGAAATTGGAATTTTTCATGGCTTTGGAACATGAAATGTCTATGGGAGAAAACACAAAAAGAAAAAAAAATTCTGATTATGGCCACACATGATTATGTTAAAATTATATAAATTGTGTATAGTTTA